GCTGCTGATGATGGAGAGAAGAAGGGCGTCATCAGCCATAGCTTGCCAGGTGCAGCCGCTATCTCCAAGCAGTAGACCATCATAAACGCCATCGGCCAGCTTGCCTGACACCGAGCCCTCTGTGAATATCCTAGAGTCGTGGGTGCTTCCAGGCATCAACAGCACCCGCGACCGAAGGAAGGCCACCGACCTCAAAGAAGGCCTGTTGCAAGGCATGACCCTCAGCTTCACCTGGCCACCTGCATTGTAGATGAATTTGAGTCAGTCTGTATCACTATAACATTAAGAGCGATGGTATTGTCGTTGTGATCACATGCTTAAAAATAACACACCTATCATTCATCTTCATCAATAGCGGGCAATAAAAACCTTGTCTGCACAATGACAGTACTCAGTAGCCGCAAGACTAGCTCAGTAGCACCAAGTGCATAGTGGGGAGTGTAGAAACCAGGCTGTTTATAAATATGTGCACTCCTACTTTATTTGTAGTTTCGTTGCATTTGCACCTGCACCAATAATAGGTACTAAGGGAATCATTTTGTACACTCCAGTTGGTTCGTGTAATTTTACTGCTCAGTTTAATGGTCTGCATGTCACGCTCATAACCAAAAAACAAATATCGAGTGCTGAAGCAACACTATCAATGTTCCTTTAGGGAAGTACCAGTATACGGGGGGATCGATGCGCTGCCAGATATTCATGCTAGCAAGTCTACAGCTTAAGAAACAAAAACTGAAGGGCCATTGCACAGGTGGTGCGCCGTAAATAAATTGCAGAATGTGTGTGCTGAGAAGACCGCTTTCAACGAACTCAGGTATTCACGCACCAAAATTTCTATACAAACGGTTTCTGCAATAATGGTGATTGCTCACCGAGCAATCTAGGCCCAGGCTTTCTTCTTGGAAAACTGGCATGCACATGCGCCTAGTATGGGGACGCGCCCAGGAGATGCTCCAAACCACTTACCCTATGAAGTCTCGGGCACGACGTGAGAAGGCCAGAGTCTCCCGACTCACAGTCAGCGAAGCAGTGGAGACATGCACGGGGATGTAGTCCCTGCGGTGATGAGGAAGTTCTCCGTGGCGTAGAACTACAGGGCGGCAATGACCTGCTGCTCTGCAGAGAGGACGCGGCTGCGAGGCGTCGGCTGCTCCAAGTCCGGGCGCAGTGGGTCGGCGAGGAACACATTGCCCGCGCGACCGAATCGAAAGCGCTCCTGCAGTTCGTCCTCGTCGAACCCCTCCAAAGGGTTCAAGCGGTCACGGAACACACGCTGCCGTCCCCTCATCACAACAGCGTACTGGGCGAACACGCGCTCTCTTCGATGTTGGCGTCGCGTCACAGTCGACATTGCGTCCCTTATCTTCGCCAATCCGTCCGCAAATCAGTTGTCAGTCAGTCGGCGGGCGAGTCGGCGGGTCGGTTGGGAAAACGGCAGAGAAGACAAACAGTGAAAATCAGCTGATAACTAAAGCGCGGAAAACGTGCGTTGCAAGATACGTGAACAAAACAACAAATCTATAAAGACAGTTGCCAGAACCGAAATCAACGCTGCAAACTTATGCTGTGTTTGGCGAAACAATACATGCATCAAAATATTTATGATATTTTGAAGTATATATATATATTTTATGCAAAAAAAGAAACACTACGATAAGATGCCGGTTTTATTTGTTTTAATAAAGACAAAACTAGCGAAAAAGTTTCCTAAAAGGCTATTTGTTTGCTTCGACCGGCAGGTGGCGTGAGCTACCGCATAATAATAAAACACGGAGAAATTGTGCACCGGGTTTTTGTCGAACGCGGCTAGGTACTCGGAAGTACCTACGTAGGGAAACTCGGTTAACTTTTAACCGCGGTTAGAGTTAACCAGCTTCGAGCAAATGGGCCCAGGTGGCCAGGCCAAGTCAAGCTAAGCCAAGCCGCTCTTGTAACTGCTGCACATGCGTGGTTGCGGAAGTTATCAACCGTGAAATCTAGCGGCGCACACGCCTAGCGAAGCTGGGGTTGAGGAATTGCCCAGCCCTGAGCGTGCTTCGTCCACCAGAGGCATTGATGTCAACAAACACGCCGTCATTTGTGGTTTGCTTTTGGACAGTGAAATCGTGAAAGTGATTAGGCCCAAGACCGGTTGCGTCCCTTTTCGTTCTGAGTGAGCTTCCTAGGTCGCTTTTCCTTCGGCAAAAGATACGCCGAAAGCGCCCTAAAAAGGTTCGCAATTTTTAAAGCATGGGGACTGTGGTGCACCCACAATCATTTGCAGGTGTGCCTCCGTTCGTGGAGACGTGCCATAGTACATTGCCACATCATAACGGCACCTATGACACTCGTGAAAAGTGTGCAAATGCCAAAATGTTACCCCGTGTAATGAACGCACCCCCCAAATATGTGTCAATTTTTTTAGAAAAAAAGTGTGTTCATTATGCGAGTAAATACGGTACTATAATCATTTAGAACAGATTTCTGGGAATGTAAGTCAAGACATTTTCGACGAAGAGCATAAATTTAGAAAGAGTATGCGGAGTGCAAGCTTGTCTGCATCTTGCACGGGGGTTGCAATGATGTCAGAACGCCAAGCTCTTATTGGCTGACTGAAGGAAATAGTGGGTGGACCTCAAAGGCATCTAGAATTGAGGTCTACCCACTATCCTTCCAGCCAAAGCCAATCGGAACTCGGCGACGTTCTGACGTCACAGCAACCCCTGCGCAAGAAGCAGATGGCTTGCTCTCTCCATTGCTACCATTGTATTGTCCTAATTTTCAATCTTTTTGTGTACAAACAATTTGAACGCTGTCTGAGATTCACAAGTGCACCACTAAGGAGGTGTCAAGCTGTCTGCGAGTCACTTGAAATCAATAAAATCAATAAACCGCAATAGAATTACTTTCCATCGCAGGCATTGTGCATCCAACATGATCCACCAGTTCCGTCTATGGGGCGGGCTGATGGGTAGTGAACTGAGCAGACGTGCCATGAAAAGGTGCGAAATATTCTAGAAAGCTTGTCAATTGCCTTTGGTCTTGTAACGTTTCTCACCACTGCACGACCCAATTTAAAAGCACCAGGCTAGTGGTCGACCGCCACCACCGCCAATCGCAGACTTCATCATCAACCGGGTGTCTCAAATAGCGGCCAGGCCCTTTAATTCAACTGCAAAATTCAGTTTCTTCACCTATCGCACTACAATTTTCTGCGGCGTTGCCCACAGATGGTGCATTTTTTTTTCTCTAAAATTTGCAAAGAGCAAACATACCCGAGGAAAAAGTAAGGAAACAAAAAGGCTTAACTCCTATGGAAACGCAACGATGCCACCAGTCTGCAAACAACATGGCGCCGTTTCACACGGGAGACAAGTGATGGAGCAAGCAGTCGAGACGCCAACTGCCGCCAACGAATGAGGATACGATGCTGTGAGCTGGCCATCATAAGCAGACAATATTTTAGACTCAAAAGCGGCGCACGTTCCGTAGATGGCGACACTAGCCAAACCAAAAACAGGTGCGGTAACAAAGAAATGCAAAACAGACAACATCAGTACACCCCCCCCCCCCCCCCCCAAAAAAAAAAGATAAAATATCTCGACAAACTCTCTTTTTAATCGATTATGTGTCCATTCAATGTGTTTTATTAGTAAGGATGATAAAATAATGCATTGGCAACTGATATCAAAAAAGCTTGCGCCGCTTTTGAGTTGAAAAGATTGTCTGCGTTGGCTCACGGTGCCGTACGCTCTTTCGTGGGCGGCAGTTAGCGTTGCGACCGCTTGTGCCATCTCGTCTTCCGTGCGAAACAGCGCCGTATTGTTTGAAGACCGGTGGCTTCACTGCATTTCCATAGGAGTTAAGCCTTTTTCTTTCTTTACTTTTTCCTCGGATAAGTTTGCTCTTTGCAAATTTTACGAAAAAAAATGCACCATCTGTGGGCAACGCTGCACAAAATCATAGCACGTTAGGCTAAGAAACCGAATTTTGCGGTCGATTTAAAGACACTGACTGCTATTGAAGACACCGGGTGCAGTGGAGCGACCAGGCGCTTCTGCAGACTAATTTCCCACCGTCCAAACTTCCACAAAACCCATTTAAAGGGAAGCTGAAGAGGTCTTCAATATGATCAAAAACACTCAATCAGTTTTCATTCGACTCAAAGCATCACAGATATCACAAAAAAGTAGGTCATTTCATGCCCGCATAACCTGGAACAACGCCTTACAGTAGTCTCGTTGAAAATTGCAGTACAGCATACTGCTGTAGAGCGTACAGCAGTACGCTGCGCAGTCTTGTTGAAAAGAAACACGAACGACGAAGCTGCGACCAGACGACACCTGTGGCACCACATAGCAGCCATCGCAGACGGAGTTTAGAGTAACATAGCGGTTCATTCTTTTATTTTTATGGCAACATATTTTAACTTTATGCGTTAAAACCGATGGCGCTGCTTTTACACTGTGCTGTTGAGTAGTCAGATATGTGCGAAGGACAATTAACCTTCTCATGCTCATTGCATCAGAAAATCTCAGGGGAGAGAGACGCAGTAATCCTGATTGCATCAGGAAATAATCAGTTGGACTTAGATATGCGCGAAGGACAGCTAACCTTCCTTCTCATGCTCATTGCATCAGAAAATCTCAGGGGAGAGAGACGCAGTAATCCTGATTGCATCAGGAAATAATCAGTCGGACTTGAGACTTCACATGGGTCGCACCCGTGTTGTATGTTCCAAAAAAGAACAGCGGAACGGCGAGGAGCATCGGCGCGCCCAGATGCGAGAATGGGCCCAACGTGAAACCGCCGTAGCCGCTGCTCCCAGCTCAACGTAGCAAATCCCACCAGAGCGCCAGTTTAGCAAGACTTCCCTCTTCACGGGGTGCAAAGGCTCTCCCTTTTTGCTTTCTAGCTTACTTTGCTGAAAAATATTGAAATAGCACATTGAATAAAAATGAATAAAGTTGACAAGCGCTTGAGCAATTTCAACTCGTTGCAGTTAGACAAACATGCCCAACCTGCCGTCTGCCATCGGGCACCTCTTTGGAGTTGGAAACCAGCAGCTGCCTCTTCTTCTCCAGTTTGCATTGGACCGCGAACACGATCCTGCCCTGCGACAACAACAGTGCCATAAGGAATAGCTGGAGAGAGAGGGGGGACAGTACAGCGTGTGCCCGGAAAAGATGTAAGATTCTCACATTGCAAAAATAAACTACACATCGGCAAACTCTCGCTCTCCGCCCAAATGTAGAGCTTTCGGTCCAAACTAGAGGCCCAAGTTTTGGAACTAGCCATTCTCTTATTCAAAAGTCGCGAGTGATTTTCGGAAAATTAGAATAAGAAATTGGGGCCGATTCCCGGTAGCTGATGCCATTCAGCTCTATGTATATGTGGAGGTTGTTGGCCACCGATTTCCCTTTGAAGATTTCCGAAAATTACAATATTTTTTACCCGATAACGGCAAGCCTTGGAATTCTGGCATCTGGCTTGGACACCTAGCGCAATATTTAGGCAATGCATAGTTCATTCCTATGAAAAACAACAACAGCAGTAAATTGTTTTTAGGTACTATATACTTTTTTTGTTGCTTCCGAGAGATCCACAGATGGCACACTGTTGACATCCACCATGGGCTAAACCAGCCAATCGGATCTTGATTTTGTGGGATTGACTTCCGGTAAGCGGAGGGAATGGAATTCGGTACAGTGGGAACGTTCAGTGACTCTAGTTCCACACATATAGCCTTGTGGGGCAGCCAGCATCAATAAAATAAATTGGCAGCGACCTTTCCCTAATTTCAAGTTTTATAGTGCGTGAAATGCGTTATAGGACTTAGAATTTTAAACTTTACCATTAAATTTAGACAAGAAACTAAATTGGTGCACAGGTCACATGACATCAAATTTCCCGCTAAATTTTGTGGGGATTTGGATTTACCTCCTACGACAGTCCTGACCACTAAGCTGATTCTCACAAAGATGTTGCCAAGTCGTCACCTTTTCTCCTGGCTGAAGACATTGAGCGTCTTACGAACACAAATTGGTAAAAGCTTGAAAAATGCACAAACGTCAAGGACAACTGCTTGACTTTTGCGCACTTTGTGCGACAAGCGAGTTTTTCATCTGCTTCGCACAACCGTCAAGGACAACTGCTTGACTTTTCCGCACTTTGTGCGACAGGCGAGTTTTCCATCTGCTTTGCACAACCGCAAAAAAAAGGTTAAAAAAAATATAAATAAAACTTTGTCGGGTGCAGCCACATCTGGAAACTGGGTTCTGTCCAGTTTTGGTTTCGTGCTGTTGCGTTTTTTGGCTCTATTAAAAATATATGTGACGCTGTAGCAAAATATTGATTGGGTAGTCCTCTGACACCATATTAAATCGCCTGGCTAAAAATAAAAAAAAAATATTTTGGATCCGGTCATGAACAAGGCTTTGCAGTAATTACGAGATCAAATCCTAGCACTCTCTATGCCAGGTGCTCACTCGTAAGATTGTCACAATTATTTGGGTGGCTTGGCAACTTACCCAGATGCTGCGCACATTGACTCTTTTCCCGACCGTGGAAACAGTCAATAAAAAAGCAATAAATTGAGCATGCTTAAAATGTAAGCTTGGCCAGCCCAATCGCGAGGCTTCTTCATGCTCCCAAAGTTACTAGTAAACTTCTAGAGAACAAAAACAAAATCCTTTAAATTAACCAGACCCAGAGAAAAAAGCTTCAAATTATCACATATTGCCCAAAGAATAGCATGTAGGATTGCCGGGAACGCTTCCATGCTCCAAACTAACCGAAAATTTTAAAAAAGCGACTGGATTACCGAGAGTCGACTATACATAAGCCATAGAGGAGATAAGAATGCTGAAACCTCAGCAGCTCAACCAACTGAAGAGGTGCTGATTCCACCCTGATGTTGCCCACAAACAAAAAAATTAGACACTCGTGTTTATATGGCATAGGGTCAGTCTGCCTTTACGGTACGGAGACACTGGTTCGAGCTGCAAATGAGAAATTTAGCCAGTGCAGTGCCGCCTCTAGCCTAAGATATTTAGGTGCATCATGCAGTAGTGATACATGAATGCACTCCGGTACAATGCTCATTCAGGTCAAAACGGGCAAGGGTGGGGATCGAACCCAGGATTTCTGGGTTCCGCAAACTCGAGCTTTCCTTTCACGTGCTTCGAGCCGCAATGTGCTTGCGCGATCGGCCGCCAATCCCCCTTGGCAATGTTGCAGACTCTGAGCACACACAGTCACACGAGTCAAACGTGAGCAATTGTAAGGAGGAGCATACATACACATCGCCCTTTCTCCCGGAGGAAGGGAAAACGCTCTTCCAGCGCGTTCGAGACCTGGCTGTATTGGGTTTGAGTTGGGTACCTTTGAAGGAAAAGATTGAATGATAGTTACGCTCGCAAAGGTCCAGCCACAAGCAGTGTCAACTGAGGGCCTATTGGGGCAATTACATCACGCCTTCCGGATAATGTAGTATACATTGAGCAGCCAAAACATTATGACCACCCACCTAATACCGTGTCGGCCCACCTTTGGCCTGCAAAACAGTTGCAACCCCTTTCGGCACAGATTCTACGTGTCCTTGGCAATTGCCTCGAGTAAGGTTATACCAGATTTGAAAGCATGGGTCGCACAAACCCTGTAGATTACAAGAAGGTGGTTTGTGAGATCCGAACTTGCGCCCTATTACATCCCAGATGTGCTCAATGGGATTGATTTGTATGGAGTTAGGAGGCCTGGAAATCAACTGAAATTCAGTATCATGCTCTTCAATCCACATGGAGCATTGTCCTGTTAGAAGACAGAAGATTCCAGTTCGGTGGGAATAACAAGCCAGCAATGGGTGTAACTGGTCAGCAGTGATCTTGACGTCGCGATCTGCCCTTTGTCGAAGCCACTGAAATCTATGAAATGACGCCTTTTCCATAATGTGCACACCTGCTGTAAACAACTTAATTTTCCCAAAGCGAATTTCCCGAAGCGCCTACAATTCACGAAAAATAAGTCCCGCAAACAATTCCGATAAAATGTAAACACATTGGAATCTATATTGAGATCCCACCGCTTTGCGAAAATTATAACCCGCAAATTATTCCAAAACTGCAGCTTTGACCTAAATCGCAAAATATTGAGCCCGCGAAAAATAAGTCACTTACAGTAGTCGACAAAATGATGCCTCTGTATTTACAGCAGTCGTTACCTATCGTCTGCATCCGCAGATGTCAGAAGACGCGGATCGCGCATCAGCTAGATATGCTAATTCCCACAATGTACGGGTGGTCATAATCTTTTGGCTGATCAGTGTATTGACCCCCTCTGGTATATTACTCCAGGAACTTATGGTGTTCGGAAAATACACTTTTCACACTACACAAGAATGTCACGCGCACTTTCATTGCTGCACAACAAAGCAAAAACAAACGAACATGATTATTTCCTTTGATCAGCTTCTTACAAAAGTTATTGAATACTAAATTTTCGACCTTACCAGTTTGTTCGAAGTGAAGGTCTCTACTGACAAACCCAGAAAAAGTGATGCCAGTGGCATGCAGATTCACAAGTTTGATAGTATCAAATGAAGGCCAAAGAAGCTCAATTCTGCACACACATAGCACCAAAAAAACAGATATTTTGTTTTCTAGACTGCCTGCTCATGCTTGCCAGCGACGTACTGCAACTGGAAAGCACGGGGAATTTGAATGTTAACTTTGGCATTTTCCTCATTTGCGGTTTTCTCAAGAAATATTTTGAATTTAAAGATACTAAACAGCACGCCGGGAAGAACAAAGTCCAAGGTATCCAGAAAATATAACTAGTCCGGGGACCCATGATACTACGTGACACTGTGACATTCTGACGTCACATGACACCATTATGTCACATAACACCATGATGTCGCATGAACAATGACATGACACCATGATGTCTGTAATTATTTCATTTGACTGGACATGACACTGATATCATGTGACACCATCACATCATATGCTACTGACATCACATGACACCACAATGTTATGTGACACTGTGACGTCACAGAACAGCATGAGGTCACGTGAACATGACACCATGATATCAATCATTATGCCATGTGGCATCATGATGTCACGCGACACTTAGCTTCATGCGGCCGAGGCCATGAAGTCAAACCAACAGCTTCGCTCCACTGCCCACACTCCCTCCCATGGAATGCTACGGCGTGACCAACACCGACGAGTAAGGTCCGTGGAGAGATCCCACATAAAGCCAGAGCTTTAAAATTGTCAGAGTACATCTTCAAAGACACAGGGTAGTGCAGCGTGTGGAAAGCTTACAGTATGGATGGATGGTAATGGCTATACCCTTTGTGATGGGCGGCAGCTGTGCCACCTAGCCTAACATAAAATTTGTATAAATTTTGTTCTAACACAACCCTCCCTCTCTTTACATGTTCCCATTGTTTATTTTTATCTGTATTTTCACCACTCCTCAGATCTTTTCCACCAATTGTCCATTGTCCTCTCAGTTACCGCAATTCTTTCTCTATCCATTTGTCCATCCATGTCTGCAAATCCAGTTGCCCCCTCCAAATCCGTAGTCTCCCCCCCCCCCCCTTCCAAGAGGATGAGATGAACCCCCGTGCACCTTAAAATTACATGTTCTATAGCTTCCCTTTCACAGTTGCATATGTCGCACAGAATGTCTATTTTTTGGAATTTAGCCCTATATGCTTTCGTTCTTAGCACCCCCATTCTAGCACAAACAGCAATGAGCTTCCCAATGAATTATCGTACAACTGTTCCTTATTTATTTCTTGCTCTTGTGGCCTGTATATTGTTAAAGCTGATTTCCCCTGCATTCTCTCTTCCCACAATGTCCTTCAAGTTTCCTTTACTCCCTTTTCTATGGATATGCTCCGATTGGCCCCATCTCGTTTAATGTATTTAAATCCCAGCAGGCGGGTTCTGTTTGTCCACTTAGTGTTTAGACTTTTCATGTTTAGATACTTGTACACTCTCCCTGCCCACCGTGTATCCTCAATTCCAACTAGTCTTTGATCAAAGTTCACCTTACTGATCGCTTCTCTACTCTCGAAAGATGCCCAACCCATATCCCCCTGTACTCCCTCAATTGGTGTATTCCCATGTGCCCCCAATGCCAACCCACCCACACTCCTTTGCTGCATCTCTAAACCTGCCTGGATTTCTGAGCTCATACACAATACTGCATTCCCAAATGACAGTCCTGGCACCATGACTCCCTTCCTTACGGCCCTAACGACTTCATATCTACAGTAAAGTTTCGTTAGTTCGACCTCGGTTACTTCGATTTTTCGTTTAATTCGATCTTGTGCAAAAGTCCCGGCGAGCGTCCATACATTTCTATGGGAGGAAAAGTTTGATAGTTCGAACTCGGGAAGACCCTGCATCGGATAATTCCTCCCGAGCGGATGAGCGCGGGCTCGCACTGCACGGCACCACGGCAAAAAGAAACACCAACATACGGTGAAACACGGGCCCTTTGCTGCAAAGCCAAACATGCGCAAATATGCGCCTGCTCCTCTACACCGTTGAGATGGACTGTAGCGAATGACACGAGCCAGCGCAACCAATCTGGCATGGAGTAGCGGGGAGAACATAGCACGTGGTCTGGAGCGCACGAGCCAACGCGCGCTCTCAAAGCATTTTTTTTTTTTTTTTGTAACATTGTGTGTGCTTCATCTTGCGGACCGGAAAGTGCGAGTTCTCTTTTCTTTTTTTGTTGTTGTTATCTTTCTTTGTCACCGACGGTCTGGCCGCCCGGCTCCAAAGTGTTTCGCTGTAGCATCATGTGCGGTCCATCTCCGCGTCAGAAAACGCGGATTCTCTTTTCCTTTTTTTTTGTTGCCAAGTTGATTTTGGCTTGGCGCCAATCCCAATTCCTATATCTTTGTGTTCTCTTCGATACTTTCTTCCCTCATTTAACCACACTCCCAGATATTTGTATTTTTCTATCTGTTCTATCAACTGCGTCCTGTATCTCTTGTCGTTGAAAACTATTATACTAGACTTGTCCCTACTGAAGTTTAGGCCTAAACTGTCCCCTACCCTGCTGCAAATCCTAATTAGTTCCTGTATTGTCTCACGACTTTCTGATACGAGTTCAATGTCGTCTGCATACATTAACCCTGGCAATACCTGATTTACTTTATGTCCTTCCTCCATCTAAGTCAGGTCAAAACCTAGGTTGCACTGCTCTAATCTTTTTTCCATCCCCCTGAGGTATATCATAAAGAGCAGGGGAAACGATGGGCAACCCTGTCTAAGTCCTCTTTTTATTGCTGCTGGTCTTGTAGTTTTGGCTCACCCCAACCCCATATTTTTCTTGGAGATGTCCTTGGCAATGGCATTGATGAGCAACGTCTTGAGCGTCGTCCGCCCGGGCGTGTAGAAGGACGCATCCTCGTTCAACAAGGCCTTCTGCAGCCCTGGAGAAAACTGGGGCAGCGAGTAGACCTTCCCTGCAATACCAGGAGCGACCGACTTGCCCGGCTTATCCATGTCCGATCCGTGAACGGCCGGCTTGGAAACAGCAGGTTCGGAAACGGCTGGTTCTGGGGCATCTCCCTGACAAGAAACCGGTTTGGGAGAAAATCCTCTATGAAGAGCCGGCTCGGGTGAAATCCGTTGACAAGGATCCCGTTCGAGGACTGGTTCGGCAGCGTCAGGCTCGGGAAATTCCGGTTCTGGCATGCCAGGTTCCACCGTGATGAAGGGTGAAATGAATAAAATTGACAAGCGCTCGAGCAATTTCAGCTCGTCGCGGCAAGACGAACATGTCTAACCTGTCGTCTGCCAATGGGCATCTTTCTGGAGTTGGAAATCAGCAGGTGCCTCTCCTTCTCCCACTTGTACCGGACTGAGATCATGATCCTGTTCTGCAACAACAACAGTACCATAAGGAATAGGTGGAGACAGGGCGACAGCACAGCATGTGTTTGAAAAAGATGTACGATTCTAAACTCGTAAAAATAAACTGTGCATCGGCAAATTCTTACTCTCCGGCCAAATGTAGAGCTTTTGGTCCGAACCAGAGGCCGTTCTCTTATTCAAAAGTCGCGAGTGATCTTCAGAAAATTAGAATGAGATATTGGGTCCGATTCCCAGTAGCTGATGCCATTCAGCTCTATGTATTTGTGGGGGTCGTTGGCCGCTGCTTTCCCTTTGAAGATTTCCGAAAATTACAATATTTCTCACCTGATAACGGCAAGCTTTGGAACTTTGGCATCTGGTTTGGACATCTAGCGCTATATTTAGGTAATGCATAGTTAATTGTTACGAAAAACAACAACAACAGCAGTAAATTGTTTTTAGGTACCATATTTACTCGCGTAATGAACGCACCCCCCAACTCCAATGTCAAAATTTTGACCCCCTCCCCCCACGCGCGCGAAATTAACGCACTTTTCTATCCTGGTGCTGCGAGGTGGGCGAACAAAACGCCTTGCAAAAGGCGTTAGAAAAATTCGCAAAGATCCAATGGAAGCAAGAAAAAAAAAAACAACATGGAGAGGAGCTTTTTCTTTTTTTGAACAGCGCAGTCTGGACTTTGGGTTCGCGCGCCGCCGCGCGCAAGGAGGTAAAGAGAAGCGCTCTAAGCGAACGAAACAGCATACAGGTATTATAATAAACGCTAGAGGCTCAGCTGGTGCTAGTGTCTACGGGACTTCCGGTTGCAAATTGAAGCAGACAGCATGCAGTCTACATTTCCAGCCTCCCTGTGTATTCCTATGGGAAAACGCGCGTGAATTTTGTCTCGTCGCCGGAAAATAACATGAATAACGCTTGTTATTTCGGTTGTACCGGATAGTATGCACCTTTATTACTATTGTGAAGGTGTAATTGCTTTAGGTAGAGCATTTTTCTTTTACAGCTGAACGATGTTAAACTTCGCTATATTTCAGGCCCAAACATCTGTTCCATGGCAGGTATGTAGAAACGACCGACGATTCTAAGCCCGCCTGTACAAAGCTCATTCAGGTCGAAATGGGCAAAGGTGGAGATGGAGCCCAGGATTTCTGGGTTCTGCAAAGACAACCTATCGTTCCTTGAAGCCGATGCCCTGCCCCCCGCCCGCCCGCCCGCCCGCCCGCCCCGCCCCGCCCCGCCCCGCCCCGCCCCGCCCCGCCCCGCCCCGCCCCGCCCCGCCCCGCCCCGCCCCGCCCCGCCCGCCCCGCCCCGCCCCGCCCCGCCCCGCCCCACCCCGCCCCGCCTGCCCCGCCCGCCCCGCCCCGCCACGCCCGCCCCGCCCCGCCCGCCCGCCCCGCCGGCCCGCCAGCCACGCCGGCCGGCCGGCCCGCCAGCCCCCCCGCCCGCCCCGCCCCGCCCCCTTGAAGACGTTACATCCTCTGAGCACGTACAGTCACACGAGTCAAACGTGAGCAATTGTGAAGAGGAGCATACGTACGCAATGCTGTTGCTTCCGGAGGAAGGGGAAACGCTCTTTCAGCGCGCTTGAAACCTGGCTGTATTGGGTTGGGGTTGGGTACCTTTGAAGGAAAAGAATGAATGATAGTTATGCTCACAAAGGTCCAGCCACAAGCAGTGTCAACTGAGGGCCTATTGGGGCCATTACATCACGCCCTCCAAATAATGTAGTATACATTGAGCAGCCAAAACATTATGACCACCCACCTAATACCGTGTCGGCCCACCTTTGGCCTGCACAACAGTTGCAACCCCTTTCGGCGCGGATTCTACATGTCCTTGGAAATTGCCTCGAGTAAGATTGTACCAGATTTGAAAGCATGGGTCGCACAAACCCTGTAGATTACAAGAGGGTGGTTTATGAGATCCGAACTTGCGCCCTATTACATCCCAGATGTGCTCAATGGGATTGATTTGTATGGAGGTAGGAGGCCTGGAAATCAACTGAAATTCAGTATCATGCTCTTCAATCCACATGGAGCATTGTCCTGTTAGAAGATAGAAGATTCCAGTTCGGTGGGTATAACAAGCCAGCAATGGGTGTAACTGGTCAGCAGTGATCTTGATGTTGCGATCTGCCCTTTGTCGAAGTCACTGAAATCTATGAAATGATGCCTTTTCCATAATGTGCACACCTACTGTAATTGACTTAATTTTCGCAAAAACCTAATTTTAGCGAATTTCCCGAATCGCCTGAAATTCGCGAAAAATGAAATCTATATTGAGATCCCACTGCAACGCAAAAATTATAACCTGCAATTTATTCCAAAACTTCAGCTTCGACCTAAATTGCAAAATAGTGAGCCCGCGAAAAATAAGTTGTTTACAGTGGTCGACAAAGTGCTGCCTCTGTATTTACAGCAGTCGTTATCTATCATCTGCACCCAAAGATGGCAGAAGACGCGTATGGTGCATCAGCTAGGTGCACTAATTCCCACAAAGTAGGGGTGGTCATAATCTTTCGGCTGATCAGTGTATTGTCCCCATCTGGTATACTACTCCAGGAACTTGCAACGTTCGGAAAATACAAAGGGGAAAAAAATACACACTTCGCACAACACAAGTTAGTCACGCGCACCTCCATTGCACAACGAAGCAAAAACAAACAAACCGGATTACTAAATACTAAAAATTTTGGACCTCATCATTTTGTTCAAATGGAAAGCCTCTACTCGAAAACCCAGAAAACGTGATGCATCACGTGATGCCAGTGGCATCACAATATCACTACTATCAAATGAATGCCGGAAAAGCTCACTTCAGCACTCGCTTAGCAGCAAAAACAAATATTTTGTTTTCTAGACAGCCTGTTTACGCCTGCCAGTGACGTAATGCAACTGGAAAGCACGGGGAATTTGAATGTTCCCTTTGGCATTTTCCTCATTTGCCGTTTTCTCAAGAGATATTTCAAATTTAAAGATACTAAACAGCATGCCAGGAAGAACAAAGTCCAAGGTATCCAGAAAATGTAACTAGTTCGGGAAACCATGATTTTACTTGACACTGACATTCTGACGTCACATGACACCATTATGTCACAACAGCATGACGTCGTGTGAACAATGACATGACATCATGATTTCATTTGACATTATATCGCATGAGAGGTCAGGTGACACCGTGACAGGATGACACCACGACATTGTGACGTCACATGACACCATGATGTCACATGAACAATGACATAACACCATGGTCAATAATTATGTCATTGGACTTAACATGACACTGATGTCATGTGACACCATGACATCATATGCCACTGACATCACACAACACCATGATGTTCTGTGACGTCACAGAACATGACACCATGATATCAATCATTATAGCATGTGATACATGATGTCACGAGACACTAAAGGCCCGTTCACACTCTTGCGACCGAGTACGACTGAGAGAGACGAGATCTCTTACAACTTCTTAAATGTTTTTAGAATGAGGGAACACACTGACATTGTGGCGCCATCTATGCGGTGACCCTGGAACTGCATTTCACAAGAACGAAGGTTTTGCGGGATTTTCGAGGTCAAATGTGCGTAATACCCATAGAAAGGCTCGTTTATAACATTGACAAAAGTGTTTCGAGCCAAGAAAGAAAGGATAATGCGCGAGAAATAAAAAAAATATGCCGGACCGCCGAGTTTACATTGCTTCCCAATAGATGGCGCCAGTGTGTTCTCTGGTTTAAGAAGTTTTAAGGAACCCAGGTTTAAGAGGTCGCAAGAGTGTGAACGGGCCTTTAGCTTCATGTGGCAGAGGCCATGAGGTCAAACCAACAGCTTCACTCCACTGCCCACACTCCCTCCCATGGAATGCTACGGCGTGACCAACACCAACGAGTAAGGTCCGTGGAGAGATCCCACATAAAGTCAGAGCTTTAAAATCGTCAGAGTACATCTTCAAAGACACAGGGTAGTGCAGCATGCGGGAAGCTTACAGTATGGATGGATGGTAATGGCTATACCCTTTGTGATGGGCGGCAGCTGTGCCACCTAGCCTAACATAAAATTTGTATAAATTTTGTTCTAACACAACCCTCCCTCTCTTTATATGTTCCCATTGTTTATTTTTATCTGTATTTTCACCACTCCCCAGATCCTTTCCACCAATTGTCTATTGTCCTCTCAGTTACCGCAATTCTTTCTCTATCCATTCGTCCATCCATGTCTGCAAATCCAGTTGCCCCCCCTAAATCTGCAGTCATCCCCCCTAAGAGGATGGAATGAACCCCCATAAGCACCTTAAAATTACATGTTCTATAGTTTCCCTTTCGCGGTAGCATATGTCGCATAGAATGTCAATTTCCTGGAATTTAGCCCTATATGCTTTTGTTCTTAGCACCCCCATTCTAGCATAAACAGCAATGAGCTTCCCAATGAATTATCGTACAACTGTTCCTTCTTTATTTCTTGCTTTTGTGGCCTGTATATTGTTAAAGCTGATTTCCCCTGCATTCTCTCTTCCCACAATGTCCTTCAAGTTTCCTTTCCTCCCTTTTCTATGGATATGCTCTGACTGGCCCCATCTCGTTGAATGTAAATAAATCCCAGCTGGCGGGTTCTGTTTGTCCACCTACCTTTTAGACTTTTCATATATAGATACTTGTACACTTTCGCTGCCCACCGTGTATCCTCAATTTCAGCTAGTATTTGTTCAAATTTTACTTTACTGATCGCTTCTCTACTCTCGAAAGATGCCCAACCCATATCCCCCTGTACTCCCTCATTTGGTGTATTCCCATGTGCCCCCAAAGCCAACCCACCCACACTCCTTTGCTGTATCTCTAAACCTGCCTGGATTTCTGACCTCATACACAATACTGCATTCCCAAATGACAGTCCTGGCACCATGGCTCCCTTCCTTACGGCCCCAACGACTTCATATCTATTATAGTTCCAGAGCGCCCCGCATTTCATAATAGCTGAATCCCGTTTGCCCTTCTTTATTACATTATCTTTGTGTCCTCTTCAATACTTTCTTCCCTCATTTAACCACACTCCCAGATATTTGTATTTTTCTATCTGTTCTACCAACTGTGTCCTGTATCTCCAGGGGTTCCCCCTTCCTGTCGTTGAAAACTATTATACTTGACTTGTCCCTACTGAAGTTCAGGTCTACACTGTCCCCTACCCCGCTGCAAATTCTAATGGACCTTTTCCGAGAAGCGTTCTGCGTACACACGAGTGCCCGATGCCAAGCAGCGGATGTCGGCACGAGAAATCGAGGAAATTCGGAAGGAGGCTGTAGATCAGCAAGTATAACACGCAATTGCAGCATATATATTGTAACGATTCGTAAACACGTCAAGATTAAAACTGGTGTTTTTATTTTATCCACCTCTTCATCCTCCTCTTCTTGATATATCCTGGCCTATTGTCGTCTTCCTTCTTGTCTCCCTCTTGGAACACTACACACGCTGGGGCTTTTGTCCTCAACCCGCCTGGGGTGATATGGAATTATATTCTTAATAGATGCCATTTCGGTGGTGTTGTTGGGTCCCATGTAGTACAGTGTCTTGAGGATGCCTTGTTGACTGCCCGTCTTGGTAACCATGTAAGGACCAGAAAAGGCAGCCTTGGATCCTTGTAGGCCTTTTCGCACTAAAATCATGTCGCCGGGTTGAATCTCTGGGACTGCACTTAGGTGCCGTGTGTCGTCATTTCTTTTCATTGACGATCAATATTTTTTCTGCAGCTGTGGAGGTCGTTTCTGTTCTTGTAGCATGATTTTCTCGGTGAGGCCCAAGAGATGATCGGCAGGTAGCCATGGGCTCTCTCCGCGTGCTGCGAAATGCGGACTACATCCCAATCCAGCGGTGTGGGAACGATTGTGGTGTGCAATGGCTGCCTCAAGCGCATTTCCATCCACCTGTGAGCTCGGGGTACATTTTTATGAATTGTTTGATGTCGCGTATCGCCCGTTCAGCTAACGCGTTGCCTTCCGGGTGATAAGGAGCTGGAAATCGAAGTGTGATTCCTTTTTCCTGTCCCCATCTTTGGAACTTCTTGCTGCGGAAGGCCGGTCCATTGTCTGAAACAATGACTTTCGTGTTCTCGAAGACCTCTCGTTCCATCAATGAAATGACAGGGTTAGTGTCTTCTCTGCCAGCTCTTGCAGCTACGATGCGCGTGCATTCATCGATGGCAATTAGAAAAGCTTGCGTTTTCTTCACTCCTCCCTTCTTTTTGATTTCTGCAAAATCGAGATGAATAGTCTCGAAGGGAACATCAGAGTATTGAGGGGTCACCATTTCGTCTCCCCGAGGTCGGTATTTGGCCTTATGAATTTGGCACTCGTGGCACGTACGCACATAGTTGGCGATATCATGTTTCATGTTCTTCCATGTGAATCTCCTTGTCAGCTTCCAGTAAGTCCTCCAAAATCCGTCATGTCCTCCTGATTCAGGACTGTCGTGATAGAGTTGTAACACCCTGGGAATCATGGACTCTGGCACATGGAATTTCCCATCTTGTAATTCCAAGTGCTGGGTACCTTCCCAAATTCGGGCATGGTTTATGCTCCCGTTGAGTGTATCTCTTGGAATAAGAAGTCTGGAGAGGGCGTCAGCGTCAGGAAGCTTCTCCCCGGGTCGGTGAGCAACTTCAAATGAAAATTGTTGTATTTCAGTCACCCATCTGGCCATTCGTCCCTTCGGTTGGGTTAAGCTCAAGAGGTAAGTAAGAGCTTGGTTGTCTGTGAAAAGCTTAAACTGACGGCCTTCGAGGTAACTTCGAAAGTACCTCAAAGCCATCACCACAGCTAAGGCTTCTTTTTCTGTCGTGGCATAGTTTTCTTGGCTTTTCGAGAATGTGTAGGAGTAGTAGCCAACGACTTTCAACTGTCGGTTAGGAGGCTCTGTTGCGTGTCTCTGATAGAGGACAGCTCCTGTGCCGTAGCCTGACGCGTCAGTGCAGAGTTCGAATGGCAGTTGGAAGTCAGGCAGTACCAATACCGGGTCAGAAGAGATGACCTTGACAAGGTAGTCGTACACACTCTCGCACTCTTCAGTCCAGACAAACGGGGTGTCTTTCTGAGTCAAAGCGGTCAAGCACTTTGTTTTCGTAGCATAATCTTTTATGAATGCCCGAAAATGTCCGGCCAGGCCTAGAAAAACACGTAATGAGTGTAGGTCATAGGGCTTGGTCAGCTTTGATATTCTTTGCACTGATTCTTCTTTCGTGCTTTTCGTTTTTCCGTCAAAAACTCGTCCCAGGAAAACTACTGTTCTTTGGAAGAATTTGCTTTTCTTGGTGTTGATTTTCAACCTGGCAGTACTCAGTGCTTCAAGCACCTGAGACAAGTGGTCCATGTGTTCTTCTTTTGTTCGGGAATAGATGATAACGTCGTCGACATAAGCGTTGCAGAAATTACCCAAAAAGTAAAACATATAAAATAGCGCAACAGAAACAAGGACAAGAAGTTTCTGTTGCGCCATTTTATATGTTTTACTAAGATGAACCAACTAGCCCAACAACGTACCTTACTATACCCAAAAAGTTCTTGAGTATTTCATTTATCATCTTCTGAAACCAGGCTCCAGAGTTCTTCCACCCAAATGGTAGTCGGTTATATTCGTACACGTCGAATGGTGTTACAAAGGCAGTAAAGCGCTTGGTGTCTTCTTGTAGAGGGACCTGCCAATACCCTTTGCATAGATCGATCCTGGAGAACCAGGAGCACCCTCCTGTCTCGCTGATGATGTCATCGACGCGTGGCATAGGGAAAGGGAAAAGATCGGTCTGGGAATTGATTTGGCGATAATCAGTGCAGAGACGAAACGTGCCCTCTTCCTTCGGTACTATGGTGATTGGGGATGCGAACGTGGACGTCGAAAATCTGATGATCCCGGCATCTAGCATTCCCTGCAGCTCCCGCTTAAGCTATAATTTCTTTTCGTGGGACATGCTGTAGGTTTTTTTTCGCACTACAGAAGTGTCGCGTAGTTTGAATGGAACCTCAATAACCGAGGTTGCTGGTGGATATGATTCTACACATATCAACTCTGGGAATGATGTTGGTACGTCCTCAGACCTCTTCACAGTTCTGAGCATTTGAACTGGAGTAGCAGGTGGGCTATCCGCATCGTGGTCCAGCGTTACTTCGTCCTTCCAGGATATGTTCATTTGGAAGCGCTTCATATCGGGTCGTGATAATATGAACACGAACTCGACATCTGCGACGAGTGCCTTGACCGGGATTTTCTTTCCCTTAAACTCGACTTCCAACGTCGTCCAGTTTTGCATCAGCTTAACATTGTCATCATAGCTGTGAACCTCGATGGGTTGCCCACTTCGTATGTTTTCTGGGTCCACGATATTCTTGTTGACAAGACTGATGGATGCTCCAGTGTCAACTAAGGCATCCACGTGTCTCCCACTGACGATAACAGGGGCGTAAAGGATGTTGTATTTAACCAAGTAGACAGTCGCTTTCTTCGTCATCGGGAGGGACTGTGCTCCCTCTTTTATTAGTTTTTCGGCTGGTCGTTAGCACCGCTGTTCACGATGCAGTGGCATGTATCGTAGCACGCGCACTGAGGCCCTTCCACGATGTGGTGGCAAGCGCGTGCATTCGCACGTGTTTCGTGGCTGCCTGAATTGGGTCTTGCGTTCATCCAAGGCTTGTTACTTGCCTGGTTTACTGGAAGCTTTTGGCCGCTGTGGGTGTCGACGATTGCGCTTCTGGGGTTCGTTAGTGGCCGTTGTTGTCCGTAGGGAATAGAGTGGTCCACGAACACACCCTTCAGTGAATACAGGAGGTCCTCGATGGTCTTTGGAGAGTGCGCTTGCACTTGTCTTTGTGCATGTCTGCTCATCCCGTGGATGACGAGTGGGACGATCAATGTTTCGGGTAAATTAGGATCGGCGAGCTGTAGAAGTCTCCGCTTCTCATAAAAGTAATCTAGTAGGCTGCCTCCTCTATGTTTGTAAAATATTGCCTCATCTCATCGTTCAACCGCACTTTTGTCAAAAGATGTCGTGAAGCTCTCCTTCCACATATCCCACGAATCGTTGGTGTGCTCAGCCACACGAAGTTCGTACCACTTTTTCGCATTCCCCGCGAGGAAGAGTCTTAAATTCTTGATCCGCTCGCTGTTTTCAGTCCAGCGGTTTTTCTCACAGGCATATTCGTAGAAGTCCAGCCACGTAGAAGCAGCTGAAAATTCACCGTCGAACATATCTGGCTTTACGGTCTCTTCACGCCTACGTTCTTGCACTCTCATAGTTTCTAACATGGTGGTCATGAACTGCCTCTGCTGTTCCATTTGAGATACTTGCATCTGTAGCAGCTGAGCAACAACCGATGTCATGTCTCCACCAGCCGAAATCACTTGACCAGAAGTAGTGGTCGGCTTCTGAAACCACTCCTGGAATTCCTGCACTCTGATGTTTAGTTTCACCGTGCGTTTTAGAAGAAGCTCTTTCGGCGACAATTTCGCTTTCCCGGCGATGAAGGAGATAAGTTCCATGTTGTTAGCTTCCCGGGCCATTGGAACTGTTTCCTCACCGTCCAGTTGATAGCTCTCCAGTATTGGCTGTCCTTCTTCGCCAACCGTCAGAATTAAGTAAATCCACATCTTTCAAGTAATCCTGCCGGCTGCGCCAAGTGTAACGATTCGTAAACACGTCAAGATTAAAACTGGTGTTTTTATTCTATCCACCTCTTCATCCTCCTCTTCTTGATATATCCTGGCCTATCGTCGTCTTCCTTCTTGTCTCCCTCTTGGAACACTACATATATAATTGTGCTACACAAAAAAAAGAGAGTGGACTGAAAGAAAAACAGAACGTTTAGGTGGACGCCACCAATGCCCCTCTTTAAAGTCGCGTTGGGCATGCGTCGCAGCTCAGAGCGAAGAAACTGGTAGCGTAGCTCCCATTATCGATTGGTAGCGCAGGCAAGTCACTTCCTCGATTCTTAGTTTGTGTAGCCACCGCATGGTGCCATCGGTATGTGGAAAAGGTCCATTAGTTCCTGTATTATCTCAAGACTTTCTGATACGAGTACAATGTCGTCTACATATATTAACCCTGGCAATACCTGATTTACTTTATGTCCCTCCTCCATCAAAGTCAGGTCAAAACTTAGGGTGCACCGCTTTTATCTTTTTTCCATCCCCCATAGGTATATCATAAAGAGCAGGGGAAACAATGGGCAACCCTGTCTAAGTCCTCTTTTTATTGCTGCTGGTCTTGTAGTTTCGACTTACCCCAACCCCCCATCGTACTTGGAGATGTCCCTCACGATGGCATCGATGATCTGCGTCTTGAGCCTCGTCCGCCCGCGCTTGTAGAAGGACGCGTCCCCACTCAACAGGGCATTGTGCAGCTCTGGAGAAAACTGGGGCAGCGAGTATACCTTCGGCCACCTCTTGGAACTCCCCGCAACACCAGGAGCAACCGGCTTGCCCAGCTTATCCATGTCCGATCCGTGAACGGCTGGCTTGGAAACGGCCGGTTCTGGGGCAATTCCCGGACAAGAAACCGGTTTGGGAGACAATCCCCTATGAAGAGCCGGCTCGGGCGAAGTCCGTTGAAAAGGATCTTGTTCGAAGACTGGTTCGGCAGCGTCAGGCTCGGGAAATTCCGGTTCTGGCACGCCCGGTTCCACCTTGATGAAGGGTGAAATGAATAAAGTTGACAAGCACTCGAGCAATTTCAGCTCGTCGCGGCAAGACGAACATGCCTAACCTGTCGTCTGCTTTCTTTCTCCGCCTTTTTGTCGCTCTTCCCCTTGGGACCACCGATCCCGGCACTCAGGATTTGGCGCGCTCTGCTCCCGCTTTCACTCCCCTGCTTGGCACATATGGATATGTGTCGAAGGATGGCCCAGATCTTCTAAAACACTGCCTTAACTGGAAGAACAGTTCACTCAGGGCAGGAGTGGCTGAGGAAATTTAGTGGCTTGAGGAGCCCTTGAAGGAACTCTGGGGAACCCCCGAGGTTCCCGTGAGCCCGATTTGAGAATCCATGGGCCAGCCCAAACTGAGGGTCACAAGAACGAAATTGCGCGGACGATTACGGGTCGTGACGCGAATGAACAGTGTCAGCTGGTGGGACATTTCAAAGGTATTGCGTCGTGATTGACTGACAACTCCGGCGATTTTGTGGCACGTGGCATCCCGTGTAAACTACAACCGATCACACGTGGTACTGCTATAGTCGGTTACAGGTTGAGAAGGTAGTGGCAAATGCCCCTCAAAGGCAATGATATATCCCTCCGCCACCTCCGCATCCAATAGCTTTCCATCGTTTCCATGACTTCGCGGCCAATGCATGAGGAGGGTCTTGCCTTTTTGTACATACAGTAAAACCTCGTTATAACAAAATGGGATATAACAAACTAATGGATATAACAAAGCAATCGTAATTCCCCTTGCTTGCTAATAGTGAAGAAATGGACATTGGCTATAACAAACTAATGGTTATAACAAAATAATTACGACCACTCCCTCAACTTTGTTATAACGAGGTTTTACTGTATTTGCTTCATCTTTCGACTTTGACTTAGCATTGTGGAAGCCACGAGAGGGAGATTAGAGTTTTCCACCTCCGATGAAAACACAAATACGACTTTCGGGGATTAGCTTCCCCTCCGATGGATACAAAGGCTGCTTTGAGGGGCTCGGTTCCCCCTCCAAAGTAAACAAAGGTTGCTTTCTTAAAAAGGGGGATCGGAGACAAGTTGGAATCCATTGAAGCGGAACAAGGGGCGTTTCCAGTGAACTCTTCTTTCGACTGCGGAGAGGTTTGAAATGGGTGCATCACGCTTGTGGGAGGAGCTTCTCCTACCTTCTTGAGTTGTAACCGACTATGGCACCAAACACGTTCTCCAAACGCGCCGCACAAATTACTTGTTCGCAACGGTGTGTCCATTCTTTGCTCATTAACGCTTTCTTCTACGTCAGGGGTTCTCAAACTGGGTTCCGGGGAACACGGGTTCCACGAGCTGGTCTCATGGGTTCCGCGAACACTTATATTGCAACCCCCTCCCCCTCCCCCTCCCCTCCCCTCCCCCTCCCCCCCCCATGCCGCAGGCTGCGAGGCAGGACCATGCAAAGCACCTTCATCTCACTTTGCACTGACATCGCGATTGATATGGTGGACATATATGGGAAACAACACAAGCAAAATTGCCTACAAATGTGCATCTGTTGCTTGTCGGTCGGAAAATATGGAGGGGGGGGGGGGGAGAGTGTTCCGTGGCAGTTTTTGAGGCTCCCTGGGGTTTTGTGAGACCAAAAAGTTTGAGAACCCCTGTTCTACGTGCCGCTCGACGTTTGAGCGCAGCATAATCTTGACGTCGAATGCGTTCCCTCCTAACACACAGGTGAGAACGTCGGCGCCTACAAGACGACAACATCCTCTCTCACGGGCACGTTTACGCCATCGTATGCTTTGCTTGCGCGCAAAGGCTCAGAGCGCCGAAGCAGACACCAGAAGGCGAGAAAGAGCAGGTGGCAAGAAGCGCGATCGCACGACCCCCAGCGCAATCGCTATCGGCCAAACGCGCTGTGCCTCAACCGCGACTGCTTTCAGCGAAATGGCGAGGTTATTGCTGTCGTACTTGCGCCTTCCCAGAGGTGGAAACCAGCAGCAGCCTCTCCTTCTTCACTTTGTGTTTGACCGCCTTGCTGATCCCGAACTGCAACAACAGTACCGAAAGGAACAGCTGGAGAGAGAGGGGGACAGTACAGCATGCACTTCAAAAAGATGTATGATTCTCATATTGCAAAAATAAACTGCACATCGGCAAACTCTCACTCTCCGACCAAATGTAGAGCTTTTGGTCCGAACCAGCGGCCGAAGTTTCGGGCCTAACCGTCCTCTTATTCCAAAGTCGCGAGTGATTTTCGGATAATTAGAATGAGAAATTGGGGCCGATTCCCAATAGTAGACGCCATTCAGCTCTACGTATTTGTGGGGGTCGTTGGCCGCTGCTTTCCCTTTGAAGATTTCCAGAAATTACAATATTTTTCACCAGATAACGGCAAGCTCTAGAATTTTGGCATCTGGTGGACAGCTAGCGCTATATTTAGCAATGAATAGTTTATTTTTACGAAAAACAACAACAGCAGTAAATTGTTTTTAGGGGACAACCTGTATACTCTTGGGTAGAGGACACTAATAAGGAAGGTCAACTTTTAAGTTCCTGCTTTAAAATGAATACGCGACTGACAGTATTTGTGTGGGAAGGGGGGGGAGCGTTAAAAAGCATGACACGCTTTAAAAGTTTAGAGCTCGACTTGACTGATGGTTTAGGGATTCAGGACTCCAAGAAGGACTTCAAGGATCCCAAAGGACCCCCATTTGCAAACCATTGGTCTATTGTTAGAAAAATATTACGGCGTCCATTTCTTTTTTTTTTTTTTTTTGTTAGGTGCAAAGCAGAATGTTTGAAAAGTGAAACTGTGAAGAATATTTTGTAAAAAGTAGTTTATTTCTACAGTAACCATGTTCTGCAAAATCAAACAGCTATTACGCCTTCTGTGTATTTAATAGTTGAAAAATATTTGATTAAATATATTAATAAAGTAAAAAAAACAACCAAAGGTGCATTCCTAATTAAGTTTTAGTCAGGAAAAACAAAGATAGAGCGTTTTCATTAGGCTCATTTTCAAATGATAGGTTAATTAAACTTATACTAAAAAAGCAGAAGGAAGAAAATTACATTTCAAGCATCCAGTGTGACAGTATGTAGCACCCCTCCAGCCCGCCCGTCTGTGGCCGGCAGGCTCGGCGGGCAACATTGGTCACCGCGCCGAATAAATGCCGTGGAGCGCACGCCGCCCCGGTCAGTCATCGTCTACCCTCACAACCAGGCTGCATGTCGTCTCTTCTTGGCGGGTGCTTCGGCCCCCTTCGTCCACGTTCTCGAAGGATCGCGACACTGGCGGCGAGGAAACGTGGCACTGGAGGCGACCAACGTGCACGGTTCGGCCCACGTCGCCGAGAGAGTCGGATCTCCGCCCCCCGCTCCTGTCGCCATGCCGCTGTACGAAAGGCTGGAGCCGTTCGAGGGAGATGGGTCCACCTGGCCAGTCTAGGAAGAACAAGTCCATGTGTTCTTCTGGGCAAACGACACGCCCGAGGCGAAACAGCGGGACATCTTCTTGGCCAGCCGCAGAACTCGCGTCTTCAGTCTCCTGCTCGACCTCCTCAAGCTGGCCACACCACACGTGAACACGCTGGGAGAGCTGCTCGCCACGCTGCGCTCGCCTTTCAGCCCGGCACCGTCCACGCTTATGAAGCGGTTCCGTTTCAACAACCGGAGCCACCGGGACGGGGAGACTCTCGGGCAGTTCGACGCTGCGCTACGAGGTGACCAGTTGGACTCGCTACTCCGGGACCGGTTCGTCTGTGGCATCAACAACCCCGCCATGCAGACGCGACTCCTGGAGCTCCCCGACCCCTCGCTGGACGACGCAGTGAAGGCAGCGCAGGCGATGGAAGCAGCAGCTAAGGACGCCAGCGAGATTGCGCGTGCGGCCAGCTCACCGTCAACGAAAGCGGCGGTAAACAAGATCGCGGCAAGGAGCGGTGCCTGCAGCCGCTGCAGTGCTGCCCACTCCCCCTCACAGCGCCAGTTCGTCCAAGCAAAATGCTTCACGTGCGGGAGAACTGGGCACCTCGCACGTGTCTGCCAAGGGAGAAGGACGAGCGGCAGCCAACAGCAGCAGCAGGAGCCTGCTTCAAGCCCGGGTTCCAGCCAAGCCCACGGCCAGGGTGGCCGTCGCAAGACAAAACAACAAAACGCTGCAACAGATGATGCGAATCACCACCTCATCTGGAGAGAATTGGGCTGATGTTTCGCCCTATATAGTGTTCTGCTATAACACAAGATATCAGGACACAATTCATACTTCTCCTTTTTTCCTTCTGTATGAACGTGACCCTGTTTTCCCCTTAGATGTGGCTTATAAAAGGAAAGAGCTGCAAGAACTGCAAGCAAGCTCCGAATCATAGTGCTCGTGTGTGAGCGCTTGAACGAAGCGCGTAGATTGGCTGCACGACACATCACGTTGGCTCAGGAGAAGCACAAGAGACTATTTGACGAACACCGGACTGACATAACGTTAGAACAAGACCAGTTGGTGCTGTTGAGGACCCCGCCAGTGGGGCCTAAAAAACGGACAATGTACACTGCGCCTCATTGAGTTGTGGCCAAGCTATCGCCGGTGAATTATGAAATAGAGTTCGGTGATGGTTCAGGGCGGGACATCGTGCACATAGAAAAACTGAAACCGTATCTAGAGTCTGTTGCGGAATTTTCACTCTCCTAAAACTGTTCAATAGAAGACTGTTTTATACTTGTACAGGAGTTGCAATTATCACGTGGGACGATTGTGTCGTGTGTGTACTTGAATGTTGTATTATATGTAAACAGGACTTGCAATTAACGCTTCGGACAATTGTGTTTTGCATGGACTTGAATACAGTATAGACCACTTACAACGTAACCGCTTATAGTGCAGGACCGGGTATAACGCGGCTTTTTTAAACCACCGGTTCGCCTCCCATAGAACTCCATGTAATTACATACCGCCTAAAATGCAGGCGCGCGAAGGGAAATACCGGTTATAGTGCGGTTTCTGGAACAACCCGCCGACCGCACGTTTCCCTGCGCGACACTAGATAACAGCGCTAGCCGCAAGCGGCACTCGCGGGGCAGGGAGGTTGCTCGAAGAAGCGAAGAGGGAGGCTTCAGTTGCCATAGCAACGGAGGGACGCATGCACGTGTCGTTCACGTATGTGCGTCCCTCCGCTGCATTGGAAACAACCGCAACGACAGACCAATCGCAGGTCGAGAAGTGTTCATGCGCGTTGCATGCCGGTTGCGGGCCGGCTGCTTCTATTCGCAAACATGGCGTCGGTTATGATCGTCGCTCATCGTTTCGCGTAAAAGCGCCATCCTTGACAGTGAATTTTCGTTGTGTGTCGCTATGATAACCCAGCACGTACTAGACGGGAAGATCCACCTACTCGTGCGGCGATGTTGTGGCAAACGCCCGTGTCGTCGTGTTTGTTTACTTCGACTACAGTGGAGCTTTTTAAGCATTTGTGTTTTAAAACATCGCCCAAATTTCTTATTTGGAGCATTTCGTGCCTGTGCTCAAGTTGAAGGTATTACAGGCGCGTACCGTATAAAGGATGCGAAGTTTCACGCGTTTTCATCGCCGGAGAAGAGTGATTAGGGTTAGCAATCCTGACGTTAGCAACGTCCGTCCGCAACCCGCGACGCCGTTAAAAGGCTGTGCCAGGCGAAAGTCGCTCATTTCATTCAAAATGTGTGACATACTTGAGAGAGAAGTGTACTAGTCTGGTGAAATAAAGACTTTCCTCAAACTAAGCTTTATTTTTCATCTAACATAAAATAAATTGTTTTACAAAGGTTAGTTGCCTGATGGCATGTATTTTGGCCTGAAAAAATGATGTTTTGGTTATAGCGCGGTACCGCTTATAGTGCGGATTTTCGCGACTCCCGCGACATACGTTATATGCGGTCTACACTGTACTGTTTTATACGTATACAGCACTTGCAAGTATAGCGTGTTTTGTGTGTGCTTTAAGTGTCTTCATAACACCAGTTTCTTTACGTATTGTGCGCGTCAGGTCGACGCATTTTGAGGCGGCGGCATGTGAAGGTGTCGCGTGAACGCTGGGAGAAAAGGGAAGGAAGAAAAAGATTGAGCATGAAAAGAAAAAGAATGTCACCACGCCTCAACGGAGCCAGGCATTAAAAGAGATATTTCGACTACCAATCAAGCTTCGTCGCATACAGCATTCCTCAAAATCAACATTTTTAAAAAAAAAAATTTCCTAGGCCTCTTTCCCTAACGGTGGTTTCACACGTTTTCATTTGATCGTGACTGACTGGTTCACAATCACTTGTGACTATAAAAGAAGGTGCCCCTGGAGACGGCATGCAAATAGCCCTTAAAAAGACAGTGACAGGCTATTTATGCCTGCCACGGTTTTTATTTGTACAGTCGAAGCTCGTTAATTCGACTCTGACGGTTCCTCGAAAATAGATCGAATTATCGAAGAGTCGAATTATCGAATATCGATCAAAAACGAGTAACGACGTACGTCACGAGAAGCAGCGAAAAGCCAACCGCGACGACGGATTTTTATTTCGAAAAAAAACGCCGATATTTTCTGCTACCGCATTCCCGACAGACGCTTCGAAAAACAAATTTCCGCATATCCTCAATGTGCGGCCACATCGTCCCTTCGGTGTCTTCAAACGTTGCGAAGTTCGCAAGTACATCGAGCGCAGCGGATGCTTCGGCAGGAGATGGGCGTGGCGGCGGCTCTTCGGCGTCACTCTCGCAGCTGTCGTCCTCCTGACCCTCGGGATGCTGAACCGATGCGATGATTTCGTCGTCAGTCAATTGACCGTACACAAGCACTCCATCATCTATCGCAACGTAATCATCGAAACTAACGTTTTCGGGTAGAGCGGACATTAGAGCACTGCACTTTTCGTCAAAGTTTTCATCTTCAATTGTGGTTGCCGATGTTGTAGCCGATGCAGTTGCCGATGTACACGTAGTAGCCGATGCAGTCGTCGAACTCACGGTATTTCCATCACACGAGAAACCACAGTGACGAAAGCAGTTCGCGATGACCTGGCTTGGCATG